TAAAGCAAACTGATTTTGAGAAAATCATTTTTTGGTTAATATTTATTCTTGTCATAAATATCTGTGAAATAAAACTAGAAAAAATGCAACTAGATAGTTTAGCTCTCTTTCTCTCTCCCCCCTCTCTCTCTCTGTCATATATATATATATATATATATATATATATATGATTTACAGAAGTTTTTGCTCCAACTTAAAGTTTATATGTGAGGTAGATTAAAATGTGTCGATCATAATGAAGTGGTTACAATAAGTATCGATAATCACTGTATCACATAAAACTGAATTAATTTCAAGAGGTTTACAGTTTGCCTTCAGTGAGTTTAAATCTAGTACAGAATAGTTTGAAATCTATCGCTTAGCTTCAATCCATATATATATATATATATATATATATATAGAGAGAGAGAGAGAGAGAGAGGGAGGGGGAGAGAGAGGGGAGAGAGAGAGGGAAAGAGAGAGCTGAACTATTTAGTTGCATTTTTCCTAGTTTTATTTCACAGATATTTATGACAAGAATAAATATTAACCAAAAAATGATTTTCTCAATATCAGTTTGCTTTATTTCCAGATAAAAGATATTACCTAAATGATTGTTAATTAGTGCAGATCTACACAAGAACACATAACATTAAAATCTATTGAATACCAGAGTCATATATATACAATAAAAAATTGTAACTGGTTATAGCTTCAGAATAAATCCATTTATATTACTGAAATTCTCCCTAAATGTAATTACTCGGATTGCTCAACAAGTACGAATTATTTAATAGTCTATTATTATATAAGATGTTACATAACTGTATAAATAACTTTAAATAAATAATGTAATACAATTAAAGAGTGATAACTGTGAAATTGTGTTATCAATAAAGAGAAGAAGGTTAATGCTTTAAAGTTTAAAATTAAAAAAAAATAGAAAATAACAAAAGTAAGTAACTTACATTTATGTATATTAATGAGAATGTGCATTAACTCTTGAAACTAATAACATTTATTAGTTAGAATAGCTTAATATGAACTTTTAGCGATTATGAGTAGAATGTGTTTTTCTTTGGTTTTTCTATTGTATCAGTACTTATTGATTAAATATTTTGTTAACACTTTGAAGAGTTAATATCAGTATGGGGGTTGTGGAGATTGTTAAGTTTTTGGTTGAGATCATGAATTAATTGATGTTAGACCACCGTTGGAAACCTGGAAGCACTGGACGGCCGTTTCGTCCTATTGTGGGACTCCTCAGCAGTGCGCATCCACGATCCCGCATCCCGCGGGATTCGAACCCAGGACCTACTGGCTTCGCGCCTAAGCACTTAACCAACGGTGGTCTAACAACAATTAATTCATGATCTCAACCAAAAACTTAACAATCTCCACAACCCCCATACTGATAATTAACATGTGCTCACTAGTGACTAGCTTCGTGAGGGAATTCTCGGAGTTCTAGTGAGAAGTCGTGACCAATGGAGCTAATCCGTGTCGGGTAGAGACAGGTATCTACCTCAGTACAATGGTAGGTGGTCGCGCGATTTCGTGGATCGGTTGATGTTAGACACTAACACCATTGGATGCCGGCTCAGTGGTCTAATGGTTAAGTGCTCAGGCGCGAAGCCAGTAGGTCCTGGGTTCGAATCCCGCGGGATGCGGGATCGTGGACCCGCACTGCTGAGGAGTCCCACAATAGGACGAAACGGCCGTCCAGTGCTTCCAGGTTTCCAACGGTGATCTAACATCAATTAATTCATGATCTCAACCAAAAAAAGAAGAGTTAATAATTAACATAGTACTCAACTCAGTTTTTTTTGTACAGTTAAAAAAATATGAAAGTTCTCTTTAATTGTAAAAAAACAATTACAGTATTCTATTCATTGTTAACATTCTATTGGATAGGTGGTCACTCAATTTCGTGGACTGATTGCGGTTAGACTTTAACATTGATGAATCTCAGCTCAGTGGTCTAGAGGTTAATTGTTCATATGTGTGGTCGGTAGCTCGTAAGTTCAAATCCTGAAGGTGGGATCATGGATGCGCACTATTGAGACGTTTCATACTAGGATGAAACAATCATCCAGTACTTCCAGGTTTTCAATGATGATCTAACATCATTCAGTTCATGATCTCAATCAAAAAATTAATAATCTTCACAATCTCATACTGATCACTTAATACTAATTACACTTTCATTGGTTTATTCACTAAGTAAATGATTGTTAAACTTGAAATAATAAACAAAAAGGTTTTTTTTATTCCCTTTTTTTTTCTCATCAAATAGTTCATTTATTATTGTAAGATTAAGTGATTGTAATCAGGTCAAAATTTATTTCTATTTTGAGAAGTGTTTATAGACAAAATTTACCCATAAAAAAACTATCATCTTGATTTATTAGATTTTGCTTGAAGCAAATCATAAATAAAATTACTATTTATTTAACTTTTCTTTTCTCTTCCTTTCCTCCTTTTTTTTCTTTTTTTTTGGATGGAGATAAAAGTTGGATAGAGTTTAATCAAAAAGTTTTTTTTCTTTAATCAACTGTTGTTGCTAAGTAATTATACTTTGAAATATAAAAAAGCTAAAGGAATAACTTATTGTATAGTAAACCTAAAGCTTTAGATGATAATGTTTTGTACATTATCATTATCATTCATGTAATTAGTTTATGAAAAGTGAATCATTTCTCATTCATGAAATCTATTTTATTCGGTTATTATAAAGTTATTTAAAATAAAATATTAATGTTTATTTAATAGTTGAAATCATGAGTCAATTAAAGCTAAATCATCACAAAAAATCTGGAAGCACTGGATCACTATTTCATTCTTGTATAGGACTCCTTAGTACTGTGTTTCCACGATCTAGCTTGCGAGATTCGAACCCAGGATTTATCGGTTTAGCGAGCGAACACTTAACCTTTAGACCATTGAACCTGTCAGCATTCAACTGTGTTAATATGTAACTTTATCCAATCCACGAAATTACAGGTTCGAGTCTCGCGGGGTGGGATCGTGGATGCGCAGTATTGGGGAGTTCCATACTAGAACTACCAAACGGTCCACAAACCTCCAGTTCTGATAATAATATTTAATTTCGGTTGTTGATAAGCAGTAATTCATGTGTAAACATAGTGACTTATATAAATTATTGTCAGTTAGCTTTCTTATATGCAGGAAAATATTAACACATATGAAGTGAAATACAAAAGATTAAAAGTTATAGTTTCATGAAGTTGTGAATATTTCTAGAATATTTATTATTTCAAATGAAACACAAAATAAAACCGTTCGCTAATTGAAACCGTTTTATCGTATGGCTTTTGAAATATTCTTCTATTTATTTATTTATTTATTTGAACACAGAAATATTGGTACAAAGGGGCACTGAATACATATGCGCCACACAAGTCACTTGATTTATGTATGGGCTATGATACTGTCCGGGTGCCTAAACTAAAGCAGGTGGTTTTCTTAGGAGCCACACCCGGAGCCTTCGATCAAAAGGTTTAATCCACAAGGCAGTGGGGCAACATTAGGAGATGCAGTCTTATGGTAGCCAGTGACCAATCATTGGTTCATACTTTATTTATACTTTCAGGATACAGGGGCTCCATGTACACCATTGGTTTGGAATCAGAGTTTTCCAACTCACCTAAGTGAGCTCTCCGTGTCCACCAATCAGGTTAAGGCACCGGACATCCGCTTTTCATCCTCTTAGTTTCGCAAACAACACTCCTGCTGCGAGAAGGCAGTGAATATACGCGTGCCTATGTGAGAGCATTTGAAGAGGGAGAGCTGACTTTCATCATCCTCGGCCGTACCAGAGCAATATACTTCAGTTGGTCAACGTCGACATTTTCATGAAGTTGTAGGATATTTTCCTGTTTGTTTTATCACATAAAAAGTTAATTAATTTTTTAACAGACTTATCTCTGGTTGAATGTTTACTTTTGAAAAATTCTAAATTCTAACTTGTTATGGGATTTTTTCCAATTTGATTTTTACCTATGTGGTCTGAATATGATTGTGTTTTACTTTCAAATTTATATTGAATCAATTTAACTGAAGAAATTCGTACTTTGTTTTCTGTGTGTCTTATAGACTGGCTGTTTATTTGAGATATCACTAAACAGAAACCCAAAGAGCACTGATAATCTGTTTTTTCTTATCTTAGTTTAAAAGCTCTAGGCGGTGCAATAATCATAATTCTACGAAAGAGTATTCAAATTATATAACTAGCAAAATTAATTAAAACCAGTTTGTTGTTGTGTAATAGTTTCCAATTTTACTTTTATTCACCTTTTTTATGTAATGAGATGGTATAGATCATTGGAAATCTATCTAGTAATTTAAATATATCCTACTCACTACGAAACCTGAAAGTTATAGCCTTGATAAGTTGTAAGGTTGTGGGTGTGCTCAATTAACGAGTGCTAGCCTTCAGACGAAACAGTAATCTAATAATGTCTGTGTTTTCAAGAGTTCCCGACAAAAATCATTCTTGGAATGTAAAAACCTTATTTATAACAGTAAACAATACTATTCTCGTATGTTATATTATATGTGTATGTAATTATTTAAAGAAATAGTGGTATATCAAAGAAAAAATATAGTAATTTTAACCACTTTTTGTTCCAATAAAGGTATAATATAAGTAATCACCAATCAGATTATCCGTTCCTAATAGGGATATTTAACTTCTCGTTAATTATTGTTTATTTTCTTTTTTAGAAGTGAAACTATCTTCCTTACTCATCTAGTTCATTTTAGAAAAATAACCTTCCTATTGCCAGTTTTAAGCTTATAATAAACTGATAAAATGTTTACTGATCTCTTATGTTTATTTTCAAGATGTTAGTAATTAACTTTTATATTATTTTCTTAAATATGGGGAAAAAATTACTGACACATTACATAACACACATTGAATGGTGATTGGTCAATACAAAGGGAATACATGATTAGGTTAGATAATAAACTTCACTTTGGTAAAATGATGAAATTTCATTTAGAGAAACTTTTATTCAATCTTTATAATCAGGAATATTCATGGGAATATGATAGATTAACAAAAATACTACTGATTATATTCAGAATTCAAAATCATTATTATTATTACTAACCAGTCAACTGGGAAATTTTTTTATTTTTTAAATCACTGCAAAGAAATTTCTACTACTTATTCATCGATTCCTCCTGAGAACTTTATGTGTAGATATATACTCAAAGAATTCAATAATTGTTTTTCATGATAATAATCACTCACTGGTATATGAAGAATACCAGAAATAATTAATAGAACTAGTATAATTAGTATTAAAATTAATGGAACTATTCATTGTTATATCATCATAACACAAGTAATGAAATCCTAAGGTGTAGTGAATTAGATTTATTCTTATAAAGACTAAATAAAAATGGAATATAATACACAAAAGTTTAGACAAAAAATATTGTATTAAAGAAAAAGAAGGTCCTATAGGAGCAGTTATATTACAGTTAAAGTACACCTTTGACTATCATTGAAAAACGTAATTCATTCATGATAATTCTTGGAAGATAATATATATATTTCAATAACATTTTGGATTTTATTATTTGTCATATTTATGTATTATCAAGATATTCAAAAGTCAATAATCATTCATCTGTGTAGTATAATATCATCAAATTCACAATAATAATGAAATATGAATCTTCAATGTAAGTGTAATTTATTGTTCATACTTTAAATGATAATGTTCAGATGTAAATAACAAATTTTGATATAAAACAGATCTGAAAGTTTTTATGAAGGTAACTGGAATCATTTATGAATTATTTCATAACATTAACTGATTGTGTTAAACAATCATTGAAAATAATAAGAAGTAGTGGACTACTGTCTTGTATTAATATAGGACTCCTTAGCAGTGATCATTAACGATGTCATGAGGGATTGAATCTGAGATATACAGATCTTATGGTAAACTCTTTTTATCTATACTATTTAGTTAGTATCTGATAGTTTGAATTTCTAACTTTAGTCATTCAGTAAGCTATATTTTGTAGCCATCTTCCAATGCTATATGTGACTAACTTCCTCATATCTGATGTGGTTGAACTTCATTAGGCATGGGTAATCACTGAAACATTTGGACTTATCTCTCAAAACTAGTCACTAATGAGTATATGATTATTAAACTATAAAGAGTTTGTGAAATTTATTGGATTATATGAGGTTTAACAAATACAACAAACTCTCTATAGTAGTGAATGTTGAGAAAGTGTAGTCAATATGTTTTCTGTTCTTAAAAAAGTTTTTTTTCGCTTTCGTTCTATGACCTAATTTGATTCAATTTACAGCTTGTAAATAAATGTTTACCAATTGACTAAACTACTCCATACTGTTGACATCATACTAAATTGTTTATTCTATATGATGTTTGAGAACTGTTTTATGAAAACTATATTATGCAATATTTAACCTATTGTTTAACAACTTAGAAATCGTTGTTAACTTGAAATATACTTGAATACAGTTTATCTAATCATTCTATTATGAGAATACGAAAATTTACAATTATATTTAGGAGTATTGCTAATGGACATCAAGCTTCTTGTAATTCATTAACTTTGAATTGAAAATAATACTCAAATAGATTCTGGAAGCTTGGAGTTATTATACATTTAATGTAAATGAACTAAAATTTTCCTGGTTACTTGAATGGTATAAAGATTAATGAAACGTTATTCATGACGATTATGCTGCTGGAAATTACAAATGTATATATATATATATAGTTGATTGGTTGAAGTTAGATTCAGTGATCTAGAGGTTAAGCGCTCACATAAGACCGAACGTCCTGGATTCAATTCCCCCATATGGAATTGTGGATGCGTACTACTAAGAAGCCCCATACTAGGACGAAACGGCTGTTCACTACTTCCAGATTTTCATTGGTGGTTTAACATTGGTTTCAACCCAAACCCAAACAATCTTCACAACTCTACATAGTTAATAAAAATGAAGATTATGTTGTACATGACCATCATATTTTATTAATTTTCAAACAAACATTCTTTATTTTCATTTCAAAATGAATATATTAAATGTTCGATTGTTGTAAAACAATTATCATGATGGATGTATTCGAGTAGATTTAATTATGATAATTATATTATTGAAATATTGATAGATCAGAATGTAATGAATTATATTTGTATCAGAAGGAGTTTTTGGAGATTGTAGTAATCTCAACAGTTGAGATCATGAGTCAATTGAAGCTAGATCATGGAAAACCTGCAAGCACTGGGCGACCGTTTCGTCCTAGTGTGGGACTCTTCAGCAGTGCGCATCCACGACCCTACCTCGCGGGACTCGAACCTAGGACCTATCAGTCTCGTGCTTGAGCGCCAAACCACAAGACCACTGAGCCGGTCGGCATCCAACGGTGTCAGTGTATAAGTTCAACTAATCCACGAAATTGAGCCACACATCCCTTTCCCCAACAAAACCCCTTCTGATACTATCATATACTCACTAGTGACTGGCTTCAAGATAATATCCTGGAGTTCTATATTTGCCTTTTACAGGATACATTATCAGTTGACTTCATTCCAAATAACTATAACAAATTAATATGTTGTATTATCTCATTTATGAAATAAATATTTCCAATTAACTATATGTCATTTAATTAAGACATTATTTCTTTTAGTCATGTGAATTTAAATATTTTTTGGTAAGACTATAATTTATGGACGACCTTTCAATGACACTATAATGACCTTAAGAGTGTTTACCTATACTAGAGATAAATGAAGGTTATAAGGCAGTTTGAAAATAAGGATCATGACTGACAGTTGATAGTTCAGGTTAGGAATTAGATTTAAGTTTCATCACGAACTAAAATGCTAAGAAGATATTTGGTCAAATGGATGAATGAATTACGCATCAAATTCAAGAACTGTTGTCCTCAATATCCACGAAATTGAGCGATACATCCACCATTGTCTTCAGTGAGTTACTATCTCACAACAGACCCGGTTGAACTCCATCGGTTACTGCTTCTCACTAGAACTCCAGGATATATATCTTGAAGCCAGTCACTAATGAGCACATAATGATTATTATCGCGTTCGCGTGCAAGACCGAGGGTCCTAGGTTTAAATTCCGTGAGCAGGATCGTGGATGCTTACAGCTAAGGAGTCCCATACTAGAACGAAACCGATGTTGACTGCTAACAAGTTTTCCATGGTGATCTAGCTTTAATTGACTAATGAACTAAACTATTAAGTCAGTAAAGTCTCCACCATACTCCTTTCATATTTATTTATTTTTTTGAAGTACCTTTTCTCTGTATCAATCAGTTGAAATGTTATTTAGCATATTAGGATATACAATATTTTTCGAAATCATTTCTTATTCAGTCTTATTACATATTTCTCATTGATATTTCACATATCATGAACAACATATCCTACTACTTATTCCTGTTACTCCTCGGGAAGAAGCATAGGCCGCTCACCAGCATTCGTCATCCAACCCTGTCCTGGGCAACCCTATCCAGCTCTTTCCAGTTGTTATTCATGCTTTTCATATCTGATTCTAATTCCTGACGTAATGTGTTCTTTGGCCTTCCATTTTTCCGCTTCCCTTCAGGATTCTAAGTTAGGGCTTGCCTCGTGATACAGTTTGATGATTTGCTTAATGTATGTCCTATCCATTTTCATCGTCTTTTCCTAATTTCCTCTTCAGCTGGAAGCTGGTTTGTTCTCTCCCACAGAAGGTTGTTAATGATGGTATTCGGCCATGGATATTGAGTATATAGATGGTTGAATAAAACTGTTCTTACTAATTAACAACTATTGATAATTAACTGATGTTATAGAGTTGTATAATATTATGTCATACTATGTGATAATTGTTAATGATATATTTTAAGGACATTTTAATAATTCACAACTGTAATAGATAATAATTTGCTCTATAAAATAAGCTTATGTTTTAAATTGAGTTATATGCATTACTACTACTAATTTACGTTTCTTTTAATATATTCAAAATATTTCAATGAATGTCTTAGAGGATAGATATGCAATGAGAATAGTTAATTAACTTCATATTTGCAAAGTTTAATATATTTACTATAAAATCGATTGTCTCAAGTACTAAACATTTATCTTGAGTTATGTAAAATATGTATTAGTTTGATATGCGCTACTTATGTGAACAGACATAAGTAGTATAGAAGAAATTGAAAGTGGAATGTTGACCAGTAAAAGATTGAAATAAAGAGAAAAGGAAGAGAACTAGATAACAATAAACCTAACACAACAAGATTAAACGAATGATGAAGTATGCAAAAGACAATTGAATGAAGATGTGGAGATGATGTATTTAATATATGATCTTCATATTTTACAAAAAAACAATGCGTAATTCTACTTTTAAGAAAACAAATAAGTTCACCGTACTTGAGTATTCATTCACTACACATTAACACTAAATATATAAAGATTGATTGCCACTAACTTATCTTGCAAATCTTGGTTAAGTAGGTTTTTAGTGAGACTAATGAATCTACTTTTTTTTCTTACTTTATGTATATAGTTACTGGGAATAGATTTATTACAGTTTTATTCCATGTTTTTGTTGTTTTTGGTATATATTGTTTATTTCTAACAGATGATATTCAAGGTTAATGTAAATAAAATACAATACAATCATTACAAATCTATACGATTAATTAACCAGTTATGAACTATTTTATAGAGTGTACTATTGTGTATGATAATATCGGAATTATGATATAAATTCGATTGTATAACGTTTGATTGTGTTGAATTGAATACGTCAATCGAATAATTCAGATACTGAGATTTTTTTTGGAACAAATGAACAAATATAGATGAATAGATAATTGCAAGCTACTTGTGTTCTGATGACTAAAAACTAAACATTGTGAGTAATTGCCACATCCCATTCATTAGATTTGTTTTTTGGCGGTTATATAACTTATTGCATTGATTAACGCTGAGCTACGTTATTCAATGTTCTTTTTATGTTTTGTAAGTTCTTCAAGTAAGATTTGTACAAAAAATGTGTCTAGATTTATAAATCAGATAATGTGTATACACAAGTTTAATATTTGGGGCCTTAGGGAGGAATACTCAATATTTATCTATATAATGAAATTGTGATTAAACGTTACTGGATCCTATGTTTTTCAAGCCTCTTATTTTCATCAGACTGATAGTGTATAGTGATTGTAAATGATATACATAAAGATAGGAATAATTTTATTTTTGTAATCTTGCAAATGTACTAGTTTATCGGGAAAAAAATTTTTTTTACCCTAAATAACTGGTGAATATTTAGTTGTCAGTTGTCAGGTTATCTCGAGAGAAAAAATTATTTAATCAGTCCAACCATTGATTTTTTCAAATATTTATGTGATCAATAAACGTGAAATATAAAAATGATGATATGGTCAAACATGTATTCGATAGACATCATGAACCGATTGATGTGAGACCACCATTGAAGCCGTGACCAGTGGAGCTAATCCGTGTCGGGTAGAAACAGGTGTCTACCTCAGTACATTGGAAGATGGTCACGCAATTTCGTGGATTGGTTGAGGTTAGACGTTAACACAGTTAGATGCAGGCTCAGTGGTCCAGTAGGTTAAGTGTTCGCGCGCGAAACTGAAGGCCCTGGG